ATTTTCATTTTTAATTCTTTTATTACATGAAATTATCGGTATGATTGCTAAAATACTTGTATATTCTTGTGACTCAAGGGCGTTAAAATATCTTGAAAACACCGCATCAATTACTGTTTTTGAGCTTGTAGTTTGAGCATTTCTATATGTATATATTCCTAAATTTAGTTATTCTTTTAGAAATTTAATCGGTTTTTCTGTTTCATCTGTCGCTAGGTTTACGTTAAAGTCATGAATACATATGTATTTTGTTTGCAAAATGGGAAGGAAAATTCATTTCTTCGGCTTTTTCTATTACTCTCGTCTTCTCTTTGTGCAATCTTATATTAACTCTGATCCAGTACACAATGAACTTACAGGGTTTTACGCGAACTTGCAGGAAGTTACGGGAAAAATGATCGCCTACTCAAAAAAAAAAAAATGACAGCGATTTTTGGAGAGTTGTGTAGAAAATGAAGTTCCAAGGTTCTACTCGATGCTTTTTTGTTCCCGTACTTTTTTCTGTTACTCACTTTTTACTCTCACTTCATAGTGTAATTTTGCTATTTGACGTTTTAACAGGATTTTACACGAAAAGTATTGGATCAGAGCTATTATATCATCCATACATATGCATATATACATATGTTCTTATATGTTCATCATCTATCAACGGACCCAGTTAAAATGTTTTCAGTATTGTTAAAATTTTCGCCTTCCTCTTTTATCAATAGACTACTAAACCTATGCCTAAAACCATGCTACGAATATCAAAACCACTTGCAACAAATGAGTTCATGCATATATTTGTACATACAAACTTGAAGGTGCTGGCCCAATGAAAGCTGGCTTTGCTGGCTTCGCTTGACTTGATTTGCTTTAAAAGTTTCTATGACCAAATGGGGACTTTGAACGCTGTCATAACAATCAGCTGATTTGTAAAAGAAACAAAAGAAACGGAGATGTTAACTAGAAGAAGTGAAAATATTTTGCGAATTTTTCTTTTAATAGTAAAAATGTTTAAAATAAAACGCAAATCACGCCAACGACGGAGGTTTTGGGTGCGAAAATTATATTTAGATCGACAAAATCATGGGTTGTTTGAAAGTGCTTTGCGCAACCTTGCAAGGGACGAGGAGCAATTCAAGAAATCATTACGAATGCCCCTTTCACTGTTCAACGTATTGCACGAATTGCTGGAGAATTCATTAAAAAAACATTCAATCAGGACTCCAATATCTTCCCAATGCAGATTATTTATAACACTATTGTAAGTAAACTACAGTTTTATAGTGTTTTTGTTATTTCACGTTCTCTTGTCACTTGGTAGATATTTGGCTCACGGTGGTACCCGACAATTTCATACGCTCGTACATAGAATGGGATTAACCACATTCAGAAGAATAACACTTGAAACATGTGAGGTAATATGGAATTCGCTGTCAGAACTTTATGTAACGACACCTACCGAAACGGAGTGGATACGTATTGCAAATGAATTTAAATTAATGTGGAATATGCCCAACTGCATCGGCGCCATAGATGGAAAGCACATCAACATAACTTGCCCTTCGAACTCAGGTTCGATGTTTTATAATTATAAAGGCAATTACAGTATCGTACTTATGGCAATATGTGACGCCAACTATACGTTTACATGTGTTGATATTGGGGCATACGGCAGCCAAAGCGATGGCGGTATTTTCCAATTTTCGAAAATTTCGGAAGCTATCGAAAATAACTCTCTCAATATTCCGAAAGACTGTCCATTACCGGGAGAATTGGAGCCATTCCCCCACTATATAGTTGGTGACGCAGCATTTCCTCTGCGTCGGTATTTAATGAGGCCTTACCGGGTAGAGCTATACAACCAGAGCAGGAATATTTTAATAAAAGGCTTTCTCGTGCACGTAGAATAATAGAGAACGCCTTTGGAATACTTACTGCAAAATGGAGGATCCTTCGAACTACTCTGTGCATGGCTCCAAATAATGCGGAAAAAGTAGTGAAAGCGTGCATAGTTCTACATAATTTTTTTAAATTATCAACTCATAACTATGTGAGTAGTGATTTCGTTGATAGTTATGAAGATGATACCACGATCGATGGAGCATGGCGTAGGGAGACTCTGCCCTTACCATCAATTAGTCAAGTTTCATCGAATAGATGCAGTGCAGCAAACTATGATTTAAGAGATAAATTAAAAACACATTTGTTCAATAACAAAATTTAATACTTCATGTTTTTTTTAATTAACTTTCTCATTAATTTGAAATAAAATTAAATTAATTCAATCAATTAACTTAAATAAAAAGAAAACACATTCAATATTACTTATGTAAAGAGCAGGGTAAGTAATATTTTTGTATATTTTTATAATAAAATAATTTTGTCTGACTGCATTCTTTACACTATACCATGATACAAAAATTTGAAGGTAAAACCGCTGAGAGGCAGCCTGAACATTTTTGAAGTTTGTTAACATAATTTAAATTTTTTAAAGAAGACAAACTTCAAAAAATAAATGATGGCCGACGAATCGAGCGAGTGATTTTATCTTTAAATATTTGCATGATGCATTACACCTTGCGACTGTAAATTTTACACACAAAAAAAGACTTGAAAGGACTTTGAAATTTCAAAAATATGAATAATTCAAATTTGTTGGTATTCTTGTACGGTGTTATAAAGTTATTTTATATTTTTATAACATAACAGTTTAAATCACTTTCGCTTTAAAATAAACACAGTTTGGACAAACGTAAAACAGCGGTCATTATAATAGCAGTGTGATATACTGACAATTCATTTGTTTTTAATTTAATTAAAATTTTTATTTTTTTTTAAATATATAGTTCATTTTATAGCAAAAACCACTTAATCATAATAAAATTGAATGGTTTTTTTCAATTTAACATTAAATGTTTTATTTTATAAAAATATAGTTCATTATATAACAAAACCAAATACACTTGTGGTCAGCTGATTAAG